GGCTTACTTTGGCCTTGAGGGAAAGCCGCGGACATTCTTGAGAGACAGGAGTGAGAATGTTTGCAAAGCCCAGGAGGGCGGGAAGAAAAATGCTGGAGCAATTTTTCATACTTTATCTCGTCAATCGATGCTGTATAGGTGCTTTGATATTTGTTTTCAAGCATCCGACGTGTTGCGTTGTGAAATTATACGGAAGCATCGGTACAAAACGTACATAAAATCTGGGTGATACAGCTATCTGCAACGGCTAATTGTAGAGCTTTATTGATTTGATATCACATGGCTTGACCACGATGAGAATATCTGCGTCGCTTGTAACCTTTCATTTTTCACAGGACTGCCAGGGTGTCGCCAGAAGCTCATCAAGCCACGAATTTTAGGGACCACCACCAATTACCACAATGGCATACAACAACCCAAAACAGTGCAAGCAATAAAAAAGCGATGAAAGTCCATGAACATCATCATACGAATTGGTCCGATCATTTGAGGAGAGATATATGGAGAATGCTGGTTCCAAGACAGAATAACACCGCACACAGTATGCTTTTCATCGCGTACCTTCTGAAATGTTGGGCAAGTGAAGACCGAGGAGGATGGCCTTCAGTAAATGTCCACATATGTATCCAACACGGTACTTGCGTTAAGTGATCAACATCGGAAGACCTGACTACCAGGCCTCTCCTCCCGTCCGTCTCTACGGTCCTGACGGCGATGACGCGCGCCCGCCGTCTCCTTGGCTGGAGGCACCGCCGAGCGTCGCGGTTGTTGGAGTGCTGGACCCAACGAATGGAGAAATGGCCGCGGAATGCGAGGGAGAGGGGGAGGGCGGGACGGAGGACCGATTGCTTGAGCCAGGTTGAACTCTGGATTTTTGGCAGGGAGGATACGGGAGAGACTGAGTAATATGCAATCTACATAAGGCTAAGGGTGAGGCGAGCGCGAGATGCGGAACGAGGGGAAAGGTACGACAGAAATCGGACCAAGATGTCAGCCCTTCCGCGTCACGAGATTTTGATATGTCAGGTCCATGCCACCGGAGAGGTAGAAGAGGAGAAAGGGAGAACCAAGGCGCCCCCTGTCCTTTCTTCTCACCGCTCGATCGGCAGGCCTAGCTTTCTGTACCGGCGTTCGATGAAAGCCGCCACCTCAGACCTATTGCTCTGCCTCGCCCACTCCAAAGGAGTGAGGCCCCATACGTTAGGAAGCTGAATGTCATTCGACTTCATCTGTGGGATCGGAGAGGGAGGTAAACAATACAAGAAATGCCACCACCATGGGCCCAGCATCGCCCACAGCGCCGGCCAGCGCACGCGTGTCCTCCCTTCCGGCAAAGGCTCCCACCTTCTCGAAGATCTCGCGCGCGCTATCGATCTTCCCAAACCAGGCAGCCATCATGAAGGGCGTGTGCTGCAAGTGGTCCTGGACGTTGGGATCTGCCCCCCCCTTGTACAGCAGCTCCTTGATGCACGCTGTTTGACCCCTGAAAGGTGGGTGGGGTGAGCGCGTGGAGAGACAAGGAGGAGTCAGTGCGATATGAGAACGTGAGTTGCCCCCTCTCACGGGGCCTCATTTGTCAGAAAGAAGCCCCAAAAATGGGACCACCACGGCAGATTGGCGTTTCAACGGCAGACACCTCTCGCCATTGGGCTTAACTCACGGCCTCTCATGATCACGAGAGGAGCAAGGCCGCTCGCATGACCTGCCTTCGCTGTCCTGAGTCCTCACCAGTAGGCGGCTCGATGAAGAGGTGTGAGTCCGTTTTTGTCCGCGGCGTTGGCGTCGGCATTGTGCTTCAAGAGATCCTGGTCGAAAGACGTCAAGTAGGAAATATGGGATGGAAAAGAAGGTGGGAATAGGGGGCTCTGAGGACTGGATTGAAGGATGACGGAAGAGGCCCTCATGCTTAGGCACATTCAGGGTTCGGGCTGGGGTAAGTCGCGCAGAGCCGAGACACAGGCGCCGAGATGGACCCTGTTTGCGAGCGCCTTACCTCCACCACCTTCTCGTGGCCTTTCCCTGCGGCCCAGTGCAAGGGCGTGTAGCCCGCCTTGTCGACAGCCGCGGGCGACGCCCCTGCTTGCAGGAGCAAGCGGACGGCCTCCACGACCCCCTGGATGGCAGGGGAGGGAACAGACCAAAACCAAAATTCCTGAACTCTGAAGGTGTATTCAGGCCGGCACACGGGGGACACACGACAGGGCGTCCATCCTAAGCGTCTCCTCATCCTCTTCATCACCGCGTAGGGCATTCTTTTTTTTGCGCACCTGACCAATCTATCCCCATGTACCCTAAGACGAGTCCTTACCTCTGCAGCTGCTACGTGCAAAGGTGTCTCCTCATCCATTCTCCCTTTCGCATGAACGAGAGCCTGCTAGGTGCCAGAAACCAAAGGAGACTGAGGGTCGAATACTCCGTGGCGTGACGCAGTGTTGGTGCTTTAAGAGCAATGAACTCCAGCAAATGCGCCTCAAAATCGCTCTACGAGTCCCTGTTGAGCAAACCCTTGCACCAAACACAAGCCTCCAGTCCATTTTTCTGTTTCAGCTTGCTGCTCACCTTGTTTTGACTCAGAAGCACACGCAAGCGCCCCAAGTCCACCTCTTTTTTTTCCTGAGTGACGCTTCCGCGGCACTGAATTAGCTGAAATATCTCCTCCACGCTCATTTCTGGGATACTATAGCATGAGCAGGCCCTGTGGTTAGGTGCATATTGTAATCTAAGTTACCTGAGACAGGACTGTGCATGCGGTGTGATGGAAAAGATGGCGCTTTGTGCGGTGTTCGATGCACGGGACTAGGCGGAGGAAGGCTTTCTAGACGTGCATTTTAAGGCTTGCATCCTACGCATTACTGTCATACATATATGCCAGCGTATATAAACGCGGTGTACGGGTGTTTAAAGGCGACTTTGTATAAACCAGAGGCGGGCTCTGTGCTCGCTCGCTCCAGCCTGAGAAGTGGGGAGGTTAGAGATCTACCACGAATGTGACTCTGAAAACCCTGTACCTCGTTATGTACACCACTTGAGAGCTTTGAAAGCTTTACCTGCTGTCCTAGATGTTTTGAAAAAGTTTTTCTACGAACGAAATAGGAAAAAAAGAAGATAACGTGAAATTATACGCCGCTGGCTCTTCAGCGTAGCATACAAAGTTTCCCCTCATGTTGCCATGGGTATCGCGATGATTACATTACATCGAATAATCAGAGCTCATGTTCCGTACTGTTCTCTTTCCTTCAACTTGTCCTTTTGTGTGCTTTTACCAAATGCATCATAGCTGCTTTCTATTCTCTCCCGCATTGCACAAACGTGTTGGCTAAGCAGTCATTCGAACGAAGAAAAACTTCCAAATTCTCTTTTCCATGACTATCTAACACATAAGGTCCTATGAAATATCGCACTCGAAAGATGGTTTCAAGATATACAGCGTTGTACCCAAATCGTGCCTTTTTAGTGCTCCTTCCAACTCCACCAGCCCTTCACACGAGCAGTGCACAAACAACATCGTGCGATGAATGGCTTTCTAAATATATGCAGCTCCGACGCTTCAAGCCCCGTCTCGGGGAAGGTGCATGCGCCCATGCCTAGATTGAAATGAGTGCGCCAGCTAAGAGATGAAGGCCCTGCCCTTGACTTTCGAAAGGTCTTCCTTAGTGGGCACCGTGTAGGCGCTTCCGCCATCGTAGCCTGCAAACACCTAGATTTTACAGAGACAAAAAGGGCGCACAAGGTTAAACTGTTCACGAGGTAAACAAAATATAGATGACTGAAGCTATTGCCGGCGAGGCGTTTGGTCCAAGAAGGTTGTACGTAAGGGGAAAAAATGGGCTTCATTCTGTTGCTCGGGTGTTTACCTTGGCGGCGATCTCCACGCTAGCATCCTTCGGCACGAGCCCTGGAGGGATGGGGACGCGCTCATCGATGCTGATCCCGCTTTTGGTGATGGCCTCATACTGTGGGAAGGGGGTAGGAGGTCAGGACCGGGACGCGCTCAATACTGAGGACTGCTTGTCCGACGGTCATCCGTGAGCGAGAACGCAGAGGAAGGGGGCGAGAGGATGGTACATGCGCGCCGTACGCTACGCATGCTCGGGGATGTGGTGTACTTCCCTTTCAGCCATGGGCGTCCTCGTAACATCCCTGCTTTCGCCCAATTGAAACATCGTCATAATTTAGCCCCCACCCCTCCCCCCGGTGGCTGACCTTCATATCTGACATGGAGATGAACCTATGAATTCTGGTCACGCCCAGCCAATGCAAAGGGTCGGGCATGAGCGCCTACAGGTACGCAAAATCAGGATGATAGGGAACGATGAAGGGAGATGAGTAATTCTACCCACTCACCCAGAAAAGTTAAAGTCTTTCGGTTCCATACTTTGACTTTTTGGGCGCCCCCGTCCTCCCCCCTCACACGCATTGCCCTAGAGGTGGTAAAAACAGCCCCCCCTGATATATAT